TGCTTGTAAGGCTGCAGCTTCAGGTAAACCATATCTCCCACTTCAAACTCCTTGTCAGTTCTGTGCCTGTCAGCATACATTTTCATCCTGTTTTGGGCTTCCAACAGATTGTTCTTTAGGTTCTGCATCATCAGTTTTCTGTCTAGAATAAGATCCTTAGCATCCTGATTTGGGGAGTCCAGGTAGGCTTTAGTTGACAAGGTGTTAGGTTGGTAGCCATAAAGTGCCTGGAATGGGGTAGATTTCAGTGAAGTGTGATAATTTGTATTATACCAATACTCAGCCATTGGTAACCAGTTAGCCCACTTCTTAGGAGATTGGTGTGTCATACACCTCAGGTAATTCTCCATGCATTGATTTAGTCTTTCTGTCTGCCCATCTGTTTGAGGATGGTAGGCTGAAGAGTAGCTCAAGGTAACCCCAATCAGTTTAAACAGCTCCTTCCAAAAATTGCTAGTGAAAATTTTTTCCCTGTCAGTCACTATACACACTAGCATCCCATGTAACTTGTAGATATGGTCTAGAAACACCTTAGCTATCCCCTGTGCAGTGTAAGGATGAGATATTGCCAGGAAGTGTCCATATTTTGTGAGTCTATCAATAACCACAAGAATAGTGTCCTTCCCTCCTGACTTAGGTAAACCTTCTACAAAATCCATGGAGATGTGAGACCAGGGTTCTTGGGGAATGGGTAGAGGCTGTAACAAACCAGGGGTAGGCTCATGAATGGGCTTGTTGGTTCTGCAAACATCACACCTGGACACAAAGGTAGCCACTTCTTGTTTCATTCCCACCCAGTGAAAAACTCTTTTTGCTCTCATGTATGTACCTTGGACCCCAGAATGGCCCCCCACTGATGAACAATGCATGTAAGATATTAGTTCTGCCCTTAGATTAGGATTTGAGCCTATGCTAATCCTTCCTTTGTATCTGATAATGTCCCCTTGCAATGTATAATGGGGTACTGAGCCAGAAGACAACAGTAGTTTCTCTTTCAGTTCCTTATAAAATGGGTCTTCATCATAGCTTTCCACAACCTTTTGTGCCCATTTTGGAATCAAGGCTGTGGTAGCTGCACATCCTTCTGAGTTAATTTGCCCTAGACAAAGCATCAGCAGCTCTATCCTCTTTCCCTTTCTTGTACTGAACTTCATAGTCCAGTCCCAAAAGCTTGATGATCCCCTTTTGTTGCCAAGGAGAGTTGGCTTTCTGGTCTAGAATATACTTGAGGGACTGTTGGTCTGTTTTTATGATGAATTTGTGCCCCATTAGGTAATGTCTCCATTTCTGAACAGCCATTAAGACAGAGAGGAATTCCTTTTCATAAACAGAGAGAGTTTGATTTTTGAGACATAGTGACTTGCTTAAATATGAAATAGGTTTACCCTCCTGCATTAACACAGCCCCAATGCCATACCCACTGGCATCTGTCTCAACTATGAAGGGTTTAGAAAAATTAGGTAGTGACAACACAGGTGCAGAGGTCATGGCCTTCTTGAGCCTGGAAAATGCCTCATCTGCTTCTTTCCCCCAATGAAATTGGTTTTTCCTCAATAAAAGGGTTAGGGGTTTGCTGATTTCCCCGTATCCCTTAATAAACCTTCTATAATAACCAGTCAATCCCAAAAATCCCCTTAGTTTCTTAACTGTGGTTGGTGTGGGCCACAAGAGCATGCTTTGAATCTTTTTGGGGTCAGTGGATACCCCTTCAGCTGAAATAATGTGCCCAAGATACTCCACAGTAGGATCACCAAACTGACATTTACTTTGCTTGGCATACAAAGTGTTGTCCCTTAATAGCTGCAGCACAATTCTCAGATGTTCACAGTGTTCCTCCCATGATTTACTGTAGATTAAGATATCATAAAAAAACACCAGCACAAATTTCCTTAGGCAGTTTTGAAAAACTTGATTCATTAGAGATTGAAATGTGGCAGGAGCATTGCAGAGGCCAAATGGCATAACCAGAAACTCATAGTGCCCACTGTGGGTTGTGAAAGCAGTAAGTGGCCTGTGTTCTTCCTTCATTAGGATCTGAAAATAGCAAGACCTTAAGTCAATTTTTGAAAAACAGCTAGAACCCTGTAGTTCATCAAGTAGTTCTTCAATCACTGGAATAGGAAATTCATGCTTAATAGTGAGGCTGTTTAGGTATCTGTAGTCCACACAGAGTCTCCAAGTCAAATCCTTCTTTTTCACAAGAAGTACTGGAGCAGCAAAGGGTGATTTGTTGTTCTGAATAATGCCAGACTTGAGCATTTCCTGCACAATCTCCTCTATGGTGTTCTTCTGATCATGTGACACCCTGTAATGGTATTGCTGCTTGGGTAAACTGTCTGCTTTAAGTGTAATGTGATGCTCTATTTCTCTTTTTGGTGGAAGTCCCTTAGGTTCCTGAAAAATGTCTTGATATTCCTCCAAGATGGGTTTTAGGACCTCCTTCCCATTGCCTGCTCTCTGGACCTCCATAGTTAACATGTACACCTCCTCTATTTGATCTTCTTATTCAGAATGGAGCATACTGAGTAATGAGTGCTCAGAAATTAAGTGGCAACTGGCCTCTGGGTTTAAGGCCTGCAATACAACCTTCTTTCCTTTTAAGTTAATAGTAACTGTCATGGTGTTGTAATCTAACTCAATGGGAGTACAGGTCCTAAGCCAATCTTCTCCCAGAATGATGTCACTTCCTTAACTTTGCAGCACCCTAAGAGAGTGTGTCACTTCTTGTCCTTGCATATCCCAACTGAGATCAGTAGCCTGTAAGTGACTGATAAGTTTCTGTCCATTGGCCACTTTCACCTTCAATGGTTTAACTGGATTTAATGAACACCCCAATGATTTGGCTGTAGATTCTTTGATAAAAGCTTAAGGTGCTCCCAGTGTCCAGTAGAATGTGTAACCTCTTATCCCCAATGTATCCATAAAACCTCAGAGTGGTCAAACCCCCTTCACCCACCATAGTATTCAAGGATATGTGCACTTCCTCAATGGCTTCATTGTTCTCAGTATTTTCTAAGTTACTCACATTCTCATACTGAAAATATGATAACTCTTCATCTTCAGTCATTATCATATAATTTATCCTGTGCTTGCATCTTTGCCCTGGTACAAACTTCTCATCACAATTATAACACAAGCCCTTCTCTCTTCTTGCAGCCATTTCAGAGGAGGTAAGCAGTTTGGAGTTTGCTTTCTGAAAAGGAGTCTGGGGTGCCCTCTGAATGGGGTTATTGTTTGGGGTGGCTTTCTGAGTGTTTGGGTGTTGCAGCTGTGAGTATGTTCTTTGAGTGTTCTTTACTCTCTTTGTGATAGCATCCAGTGTGTGGAGTTGTTGCTGACCCAGCTCAATTGTTTGTTGTAGAGTTTTTGGATTAAACATGTGTAGAAATGCCTGTAATTCCTCACTGAGCCTACTAATAAAACTAGCTATGAAATATTCTTCAGAAAACTCCCCCTGATTCATGAGTTGCATACATGCCTTCAACTCCTCAAATTTGTCAACATAATCAGCATAAGAACCTGTGTGCCTTAACTTGTTAAATTCAGCAATAATTTTAACCTCTTTCAGCTCTTCAAACCTTGCTGACACTATTTCAACAAATTGACTCCAATTCAATTCAAGTTGTTTTGCACTTAGGTTTTGGAACCATAAAGCAGCTTTGCCTTCTAAGTGCATTGAAGCAAGTATGACTTTCTGGGTTTCAGAGATATTAGGCACTAACTTGAAATAACCACTGCATTTTAAAATCCAAGCTCTGGGGTTGGAACCATCAAACCTGGGAAATTCAATCTTTGGGGCTGGATTCATATAGTGATTGTTTTGCTTGCTTGCCTGCTCTTGCTGTAACTGAAGCCTATGCTTGCCCAGTATGGATCCTTCATCATCACTGTCTTTTTGCCTATTTAGGAGTTGAAGCTGCAGGGAAGCTATTGTATCTGCTAGCCGGTCAAGTTTGCCAGTTACTTCAGACTTTTGCTCAAACAGCTCCATGTTAACACCTCCAATTACCTTTTTAATTTGTGAATTAATTGCCTCCATTTTCTCTTGCATTTTTAGTTCTGAGGCTTCTCTTTTTAGAACTACCGTCTGTAACAGTTGATCCATCCTTTTCTGAAATTCTTGCAGCTCCCTGCCCCTTGTTCCCTCAGCCATGGTCCGAGAAAGGCTGGCTCTGGATACCAAATGTAATGACCCGCGATGATATTGTAATTTTTGTGAATAATTTGTATATTTTTTCTGTAAAATTAGAAAGATTAAGGGAGAAGATAGATTGCAGAAAGATAGAGAGAATGAGAGAAATAGGAGAGAAAAGGGAGAAATGAGTTTGTGAATAACTGATTTGATGCCTTTTTTTCATTCACTCATACGGTATTTAACAAACTAGTGGGCCCCAATTGTTTTTTCCCTTAGCTGGGTAAAACCCTCTCAACAAACTCACTAAAGACAAAAGATGCCAAAATAAAAGGGAAACTAAAATAATAAAAATAACAATGAAAATGCAAAATTCAGCTTCACTCCAGTGCGCCCACGTGTACGGCTGGATCGCTTCTTCTTTGAATCTGATCAACGGTCATGAGGGTGGCACGTGGCGAGATCCCCTCTTCTTGCTCATGTTCGGATATAACCCTATCTGCTGTCATTTCCACCATTTTTTCAATCTCGATTTTTCTCTTCTCTTCACCTTCATCGTCGCACAATCCCTCCATCTCATCCAATTCCTCGACTTCAATTAACAGATCCATAACAGTATGCTCGGTGGAAAAAGGCTGACGAGATGGACGAGTGTTACATCTTGGCATCTTTGTCAAATGTACTTCAACATCAACATCAGTCTATGAACGCTGCAGCGGATATGCTACTCAATCTCAAGGAGTTATTTGGTCATCAGTCGCGGGCTGCCCGACAAGAAGCCATGAGGGTTCTGATGAACATGACCATGCGCGAGGGCACTCCCGTAAGAGAACATGTTCTTGCTATAATGGCCTAGCTGAATGAGCTGGAGGTTCTTGGGGCTTTTATTGACGGGAAAACCCAGGTCGATATAGTGCTCCATTCTTTGCCGAAGAGCTTCGAGCAATTCCGGTTGAATTACAACATGAATAAGATGTTGATGACTCTTCCGGAACTTTTTGTTGAGCTTCATGCGGCAGAGGGCCTGTTTCGTCAGAAGACCCAAGCCATTGTGGCCAAGCAGGGAGAAGCTTCCACTTCCAAGGCTCCTAAGGGCAAGAAGAGGAAGAAGTCCGCAAGAAAGGGCAAGGCGGTCATGAGTGACGCGCAAGCTCGACAAAAGGCAAAGAAGCCGAAAGGCAAGTGCTACAACAGTCAGCAGAAAGGACACTGGAAGGCAAACTGCCCTCTTCCCAAGAAACCCGAAAAAGGTACTCTTTTTGCTTTAGTTGTTGAAACATGTTTAGCGGTGTTATCTAGCAGTACCTGGTGTGTAGATACAGGAGCCACTGATCATGTCTGCAATTCATTGCAGAGGTTTCAGGAAACCAAGCGACTTAGGGAAGGAGAAGTTACCATCTACTTGGGCGATGCTAGTAGAGCGTCAGCAGTTGCAATGGGAGACACCTATTTAGATTTTGGCTTAGATAGGTTTCTAGTTTTGAAAGATTGTCTTTATGTTCCCAATTTTAGAAAGAATTTGATTTCTGTTTCTAAGTTGTTTATGAATGGTTTTTCCGCTACGTTTGATAATAAAATTGTTATTCGTTTTTGCAAAAAGTTCATATGTTCTGGTTCATTAGTTGACAATCTATACATTCTAGAATCTAAGTCATCTCCACTGCAACAGAAACAATTACTTAATTCATCATCTAATCTGAATAAGAGAAAGGAACCTTCTAAAATGAACGAAACATATCTTTGGCATCTAAGACTTGGTCATATTAGCCATAGGAGGATTCAAAGGTTGGTAGCAGACGGGCCCTTGGGGTCGTTAGAAGTCGAGGCTTTTCCAACTTGTGAGTCTTGCCTGAAAGGTAAAATGACAAAGAGGGCTTTTAGTTCAAAGGGGCATAGAGCCGAAGATGTGTTAGGGCTGGTTCATTCCGATCTATGTGGTCCTATGAGTATTCAAGCGAGAGGTGGTTTCGAGTACTTCGTTACGTTTATCGATGATTACTCGAGATATGGGTACATTTTCCTTCTGCGCCGCAAGTCTGAATGCTTTGAGAAGTTCTTGGAGTATAAGGCAGTTGTGGAGAAGCAGTTAGAAAAAAGTATCAAGTCATTGCGATCAGATCGTTGTGGTGAATATCTCTCGAATGAATTTAGGAGCTACTTGATGGATAATGGGATTACGTCCCAGCTGACTGCGCCTGGCATGCCTCAGCAGAATGGTGTAGCAGAACGGAGGAACAGGACTCTTATGGAAATGGTTAGGGCAATGATGAGTTATGGTAGTTTACCAGATTCGTTTTGGGGATATGCCCTAGAAACAGCGGTATACATTCTGAATAGAGTACCTTCTAAATCAGTACCATCCACACCATTGGAGTTGTGGTCTGGGCATAAGCCTAGTCTAAGACAGCTCAGGATTTGGGGTAGTCCAGCACATTTGCTAAGAACCGATACTGATAAGTTGGAACCGAGATCAGAAATAAGGCTGTTTGTGGGATATTCTAAGAAAACGAAAGGTGGTCTATTTTATAGTCCCGAGGACCAGAAAGTAATCGTTAGCATGAATGCTAGGTTCTTGGAAGAAGACTATGTCTTAGATCATAAGCCCAGTAGTAGACATGTTTTTGAGGAGTTAAAGGGAGTGAGTACTTCAATACCGAGTGCGCAAGATGTTACACCACAAAGTACTGCAACACGTATCGCTGACGATTCACCTGAGCAGGTAGTACCTCGTCGTAGTGGTAGGGTTGTTCGGTAGCCCGAACGGTTCATGGGTCTGGGAGAGTCTTCTGAGGCCGTCCCAGACGTTCTTGAATCCGACCCATGGACATACAATGAGGCACTCCAAGATCGGGACGCAGAGTCTTGGCAAAAGGCGATGAAATCTGAATAGAGTCAATGGACACTAATTAGGTCTGGGATCTTGTAGAGCCACCAAGTGGCGTTCGGGCCATTGGATGCAAGTGGGTCTATAAGAGAAAGAGAGGATCAGATGGGAAGGTTGAAACCTTCAAAGCTAGGCTTGTTTTGAAAGGGTACACTCAGAAAGAAGGGATCGATTATGAGGAAACCTTTTCACCGGTAGCCATGCTCAAATCCATCAGGATTCTCTTGGTTGTGGCCGCTCATATGGACTATGAGATTTGGCAAATGGATGTTAAGACCGCTTTCCTTAACGGAAATTTGGACGAGGACATCTACATGCAGCAACCAGAAGGATTCATTGCAAAGGGCCAAGAGCATCTGGTCTGCTGAAGAGGTCCATTTATGTGCTGAAACAGGCTTCGAGGTCTTGGAACATCCGGTTTGACGAGGTTGTCCAATCGTATGGATTTACCCA